TTAAAAAAGTAAATTAAAAGTAAAGAAAGAGAATCCAAAAAATTAACCCTGTAATTACACAATGTAATTACCAACAATTCTCAGCTCCCCCTTGAGAATTGCAGACTGTAATTACACCCCTCTTATATCCAATTACATGTTGACTATTACCTAGTCAGACAAATATGCCAAAACTGTATAATTACACTCAATTACACACAAATCCAATTATAGGATAGCCTTCCAAACAGGCCCTTATAGTTTTTCCTTCTTTTTTTTCCCTTTCCACCATTACTTTTGAGTTGAAGGCGAAAAAACAAAGAAAACGTTAAACCCAAATATGGACCTTAATGTATAACAATTTTTAACTAGTGGGATTTTATTGAGTTATTGTTATTGTTGTTGTTATGTATACTCAGTCAAAACTTACTTTAACAACCTCGTTTGCTCTGAATTTTTTTGGCTGCTACAATGAAGTATTATAGAGAACATATATTACAGCTAGAGGCGGATTCAAGATTAAAATGTAATGTATTCAACTTTTACAATGAATTAATTATACTGTTAAAATTATGGGTCCAAATCTAATATTTGTTAAAATTTTAGTAAATTTTACCTACGTACCTATACTCAGTGTCGAATGTTAAAGGCTATGTTTACCCTTGATTATAGCATAACAATAAGTTAGTTCTAAAGAAAACTTGGCCGTTATAGTGAGCTATTATGCAAAGGATGACAATCAACGTGAATTTATAAAGATTAATTCTATTCTCTATCCAAATATTGTGTTCCTTTTGTCCAGATTTACAGACTCTTTATTAAAGACACTCCAAATTAATATTTTACTTCATTTTACTATTTATCTATTTTATATAATATTCAGAAGTTTTTAGAAATCAAATCTGTTTAACAAATTAAATTTTAACTGCTGGCATTAGACGCTAGCTCTTTATGCCTTCATTTTATAATATTCAACAGATACTAAAAGTAAAAATGTTTTAACTGTGTTTTTTTAATTTCATTTGGGTCAAGACTTATATATTTACTACAACTCTTTTTCTCTTAACGTTAATTCTCCAACAAGTATTTCGGTCAAATAAATAGGGTCTTGAACTTGAAGTTGCCTCCTCTATGATGACTATATATTAAACCATATTTGATTGCTCAATTTAATGTCAATCACTTCCTAATTAATGTAAATGCATTTTAATTGACAAGACAATTTTCGATAAAAAGAGAAATTAAATGAAAACAGAAAGTCTGGAATCATATATATCCAAGCAAGTATAAATAATATGAGAAATATAGAGGAGGGAATTTGTAAAAGAAAATTCGAATCTAACTTTCAGAATTTTCAAAAAAGTAGTAATTAAAGGGTGCACTAAATTCTGCGGTAGGTCTAAGTTTAAAAAGT